CTAGTCATTTTCGATAATTATATAATAATCCGACCCATGTATGTATAAAAGCTAGGTCTTTATATTTTAATCCTCTATTGTTTATGGTAAATTATATGTGGGTTTTCCGAAGACAAATAGGAAGGACTGCTGGGTATTAACTCTGCAGACTTACGAACAGAGGTACAAATGTATACCACATTTTTTATACAAATATTGCGTTTTTTTTTTGCTTTTCCAATTTTTTGACCACATTTTTAAAGATATCAAAAAATAGAAATAAACCTTATTCTTTATTAAATTACGAAAAGAATCTATAATTGATCAAAATGAGTAGGTATCATACGAGGATCGTTTTGAACTCAGGTTTTTCCTGTATTAAAATTTCCATTTTTTATCAAAATAGGACTATAACTACACAGAAAAAGACGTTCCTAAAGTTGGCGTTGATGCTCAGCATTGCAAATATTATTTTATTTTTAGTGATAAAATTTTAAATAATTTCACTTTCCCAGATCATTTTTCCTCATTCATTTTTTTCGGTTTTGTGAAAAAAATATTTTTTGATGCTCAGCGTCGATGCCAACTTCAGGAACCTAAAAAAGCAAAGTCCGAAACCGTTTACATTCTAAAAACCAAAATACTTGAAATTTAGCTTTATTCTTAAGGGGGTGTCCAAGTGGATTGAATTTTTACCTTAAGCTTCGTAGTGGAAAAATCGCATGGGACTTTGACACTCCCTTAAGTTTAACTTTTAGACTGCCGGAAAATCTATAAATAAAGATTCTATGGAGTATTTAAACTAAATCAAATGAAACTCGTTAAGGCGCTAGCACAGCTCCTACTGCCTGCCTGCCTGCCTGCAGGTTGACATGGTAACACATAGGAGTAAGAGAGTAAGAAAATTCAAATTAAATGTTTTTTCTCTCTCACTCTTATGGCGCCTGCCTGTGCAGGCAGGCAGGCAGTGAGGTGAGAGTGTACCTTTATCCGGGTGTTTTTTAGGTCGCTGATTACGAATCTGAGGTCCAATTTTCAAAATTCAAAATGGCGCATTCAATATGACGTATGGATTTTAAAAAATTGAACGAATTTGCAAGAAACTTGCTACTTGAATTTTTCGGGGTCGCTGATTACGAATCTGTTATCAAAATTAAAAAATCCAATATATCCGATCAGTTTTAAACAATCAATCGAAATTTAATGGCCCAATGTATGTGCCATGGACTGTCACAAAAGGGGTTAAAATACCTTCTTCGGTAGTGAATTTTACTGTAAAAATTAGTATTTATTACTACATTTTACAGTTAGAGTAGGTAACTATATTCTGTAATAATTCCTTTTACAAAATTCGCTGAATTCGAATTTGATGTCTGTTTATTTCAAAATTCATAATTGCGGATCTAATATGGAATTTTCAAAATCTGTCATTGGATTCGTAGTCAGAGATCCCGGAAACCCCGGATAAATGAATTTCGGTCGAAACGCATCAATTTTAAAATTATCCGCCATATTCGTTCCCCGACGAATTTCCTAATCTTAGATTCCTAAACGTATTTTCCTAACAACTTCTTTTCCTAATAGTTAATTTTTCCTAAAACTATTTTCCTAAATCATTTTTCCGAACTCAATTTTCCTAAAGTCTTTTTTTACTAAAGTCTTTTTTTCCGAACAATATCATTTTTCCTAATATATATTTTTTATGACGATATGCGATCTGCAATTGTTTTTTCAATAGTAACAAATATTCTCTAAATTTTAGTAATTAATTTTAAATTATTTCCACTTCATTTTTAAATTAAAATTTTTAGAAAATTAGGAAAATTTAATAACTTTAGCAATTTTCGCTTAGGAAAATTGTTTTAGGAATTTCAAATTTAGGAAATTCGTTTTTAGGAAACGTTGAAATTAGGAATCTACGATTAGGAAAATCGGTAGGGATCCATATTGGATCGGCCATTTTGAATTTTGAAAAACTGACCTCAAATTCGAATTCAGCGACCGTTTTAGGCCTACAAGCGATTTTCAACTGGACTTCAAAGGGGTTAAAAATAGACTATATTCTTATGTCATTTTAGTTTTAAGATGTAATCGGTTCAGGTAAGGTTATCTAAACGATTTCAGACTTTGTTTTTATTGCGTATGTATAATTAATTGCCGATTATTAAAAATTAGTTTGCTACTTGCAGACTTGTTTCATTTTTGTTGCGAGGCATTTTATTCGGTCACAACAATAACGAAAATTTCGGGGATATTAATATAAAGTATACGGTGAGAAAATTTTAACCTTTATAAAGTTATATTAATTTATCGCATGCCTGGCCCTAGTAGAAATTTGTCATAGTATCTTTAAGGGCACTGGACAGTTCCACTGGAAAATTTCGAGGCACTTTACAGTTAAACTGGCTAAAAACTATAAAGTGATGTCACGCTAATTTCTTCAAGTTATTGTCCAGTCAAATTTTACAGTTTCTGATCATCAGTCCTGTAGAAAAACTATACAAAATAATTCACTTGGAAATGTCAAAACTTTCTTTATATTGACGTTACGTATTAAACACGTACAAATTTGAAAATATAACGTTAAATTTTTTTGTCAACAAATTAAATAAATTAAAATTTTACGAAACTATATTTTTACTGTTGGTGTATCTATTGTTCCGTATAATAAATGATTTATAATAAATTATCTGTAAAATTATTTTTAAATAACTACATAATTAAAAAAAAAAATAAAAATTACTGATTCTTGAACACATGTCATTTTTTTACATTAAACAACATTCACTTTTTCCTTTAATTAAGCACAACACTGAAATAAATATTATTATTTTATCACACTACAAACTTATAAGTAAACCCTAATATGAAGAATTAATTCAGTTCAAACGAAAAATATCTAGCGGTTTCGGGGAGCGAACTCGGGTCACACTGGGACGAAATACCTAAACGCACGCTTTACGCATCACGGCCGTTCTAGTCGATGGACGATTCCGGAAAAATAAGAACCATACTCTACCGGCAGGTAAAGCAGTTCCCTTTTTCATCTTTTCTAGCTCAACTGGCGAATTACTGGACAGCTACTGCATAACACTCTAAAGTTGAACTTATTGATTATTACTGTATAGAAGTTCTGTCTGTCCAGTTATTCTCATGGTACTGTCTAGGCGTTCCGTGAAATTATGTTTCAAAGTTTGTCGTGGCGTTAGCGCTACCGTCAGTCCAGCAACTGAACAGTGTTGTGTAGACATTTTCCATAAATACATCAGAGTATACACTGAAAGAAATAATTCGCGGGTGTAACTAGAATTATGTCTATTTTTTCCGTAAGGAATTAGTAATAAATTGTTACTGTCTACTGTCATTAATTATAGACAGTTCTGTTATTCAGATCGGAGAGCTATACATATGTCAACGTCAATTCATCAATGTAAAACATAACCTCACTTTATTGGACCAATTCTAACTTTTTGTATGTAACAGGTTTGTTAAATTAATATTTATACATATAATAAGAGTATATAATCTTGAAAAGAAATTGTCTTCTGAATTTAAAAAATTAGTTATTTTAATTAACTCAATTAATTGAAGCGAATTTTAAAAAAATTTTTTTTTTCTAAAGGAATTTTCATTAAAAATAAATTTTGATTGAAAAGAAATTTTTATTATTAAATCAAAATTTTAATATTAAATAATTTAAAAAATTTGTTATTTAGTTGTCAACAGTAAAATAAAAGAACAAAATTAAAATTATAAAAACTATAAACTGTATAACCAAAAGATTTATTTTATAGAAAATATTTCGAAAATGTCAATACACAACTGTTTAGTTACTGAAACTGGCGGTAGCGCTAACGCCACGACAAACTTTGGAACATCATTTCTCGGAACGCCTCGACAGTGCCATGAAAATAACTGTACAGGACTTCTATGCAGTAATAATCAAGTTCAACTTTATATTTTCTTTAACAGTGTTATGCAGTAGCTGTCTAGTAATTCGCCAGTTAAGCTAGATTAAACTTCCATGACTAAAACTGTACAGTAACTTGAATAAATCTAGTCATGCCACGACAAATTTCTACTAGGGGGGTTCGAGGTAAAGTGTCTAGACCTGGGTCGAATAATTGGTTAGATAGCGGCTTGAAGTCAAAAAGACGGATGAATTACCTGTCATGAGTCATAATATGTGTGAGGAACGATTTATATATTGTACCTAACTCAAATACCTAATATATGAGGGCTTCGCAACTATTGAACTTATTAAAGTCAGTAAAGCTTATTAAGGTTGAAGGACACCTTAAAGGCAATAGGTGGACACGAGAGACAGAGAGAGAGTTTTAATCATCATGCGGGCGCCACGGTGAGCGCTCGGTCAATTTAAGTGTAATTGTTTAATTGAGATCTTCACCGGAGGCGCTTTAACTCTAAATTGGCATCTGCTGCTTTACAGCGTGAATACACCGAAAAATATTAATTAAAACTATAAACGAAAAAAGTGTACCGCTTCTTCTCATTTTATTGTCACTTTGATAATTTTCAAAAAGAATTTGTTTTAAAAAATCCTAATAGAAAAACAGCTAATTTTTTTGGCAGGGTTTGGCAAGATGACGGTAGTGATTGATTGAATATTTCATGATGACGGTCGCGATTGATTGAAATACTAGGATGACGCTTGTCATTGGTTGAAAATATGATGATGACAGTTGCTATTGGTCAGAAATCATAGCGATGTCGCTTGCTATTTGTTCATTTTCTGTATTTAATTTGTCAAGAGTGTCAACAAGTACAGAAGTATATTAAAAGTGAAAAAGTAACAAACACGAGGTGAATAAAACAAAAACATGAAGTATAAAAAAGTTATAATATATAAAGTTATAGTATGCAAAAAGTTAAATGTACATAGTAAAGTTAAAAAGTTAAAGTATTGGAAAAAGTACTTTTAAATAAGAAGGGACAATTTCGAGTGCTACGCCACTGGTTAGAACTCAAGAGAGATGACTCATGTACAATCTCGCAGCCTCCCTATGTTCTCGTATCGCAGTGGTATACAATAGAGAATAGTAAACGCGGTAAAGGTAACTCGCAATGGCCACGATCGAAGCTCGAAGCTACAACACGAGCTTGCGGCACAGAAATGGGGTTTTCTCGGGTGCCCTGAGAGCCCGCGGGCACGTGGCACTGACTTCACCCCACGCATACATCTCGTGGCTGGCAAACCAATTCCATCCCTCCTGGAGCGTCCACCTAACCCTTATTCTCCGTTTCTTCCTATCCTAGACATATATACAACTACTCTCATTCTCTTTTACATATATATATTCTCATCGGGGTAGCTTCAAAATAATAATTTACCTTATTGAATTACGTCTGACAAAATTAAACTTCTTTTTACACCCTTGAAAAATTAAAAAAAACACGTTTTCAAAAGATTGGCGCGAAAATGCTGAATTTAAGACTGATCTTACATTGAGATTTACTTTTTATTGTGTAAAACCAAAATCAGTTTTTATTAATTATTTTATGCAACTCAGGCGTATTATGGTCACTTTATCTACCTGTACAGGCGCATACTAAGTTCCCCCTTATAACCCAGTAGTCAATAAAGTGCTTATTATTGCACTAGGGCAATAATAAGCACTTTATTGACCGCTGCTCACAGGTCAATGTATTTTAAATAAATAAATAAATAAAAGTAATTGAGTCCTTCCAAAGAATGTTATTATTTATGAAAATAATCTAATTCTTGCAAAGAATTTCATTAAAATTTTTTGCAAATAATAAGCAGTAATAATTAATTATGTGGGGTAAGGGGCCCCAAGGTGGCCACCCATCTTTTGAACGACTGTAATTCCTAAACGGTATTATACAACATAATTAATAATATATGCCCTGCAACTGTATCTCCTTAGCTAACTTTTTAGCAAAAAAAATTTTTTATTTTATTAAGAAAAATAAAACTTAGGCAACTTTGGAAAAACAGCTGAAATTTTGCTTTAAAAAAAAGTGGCATCAAGGTGGCCACCATTCAAAAATTCACTGAAAAATTAAAAAAAATAGTTGCAAAAATCAATTTAAGGCAATTTTATAATTTTATAAACCTGAAAATTTATATATTCTAAACGCATAGTTAAAATCTAGCGAACCATGGCTAAAGACAAAAATATTTAAAAATTTAAAATCCTGAAAATTTTTATATTTTAACTGTGGTCAAAATCTGGCAAACCATGGCCAATGACAAAAATATTTTAAAACCACAAAATTTCTATTCTGTGATCAAAAACCAGCGAACCTTGACCAATGAATAAAAGATTTTTCTATATTTTTGACCATCTCCAAAATCTATCAAACGACAAAATAGTTTAAAATCTGAAAATTTATATATATTTTGACAGTAGTCACATTCTTTGATCCTAAACTATTTTTACCTTTGACCATGATTTGCTAAATTTTGAAACTGGTCAAAATATAACAATTTTGTATGTTTTAAACTATTTCCCTCGTCGACAATGGCGACGTATAATTTAAATTTAGAGAATAATAAATTGGTAAATTCAATTAAAATGATGTAAATTTTGATTAAAAATATTAAAAGTTGGGTAATACTATTATACTTTACAAAAAAATAAAAACTTACCGCGACTCCTCCTGAAAATAGTTCAACCATTTCCTCCCGCATCTTCTTAAGCTTTTTCAACTATGATTCTAAATAAACATAAAAAAATGTATTAAATTAAACATTTTATAAATAAATGTTTAATAATGTTTTTAGAACTAAATGTTTAATAAAATCGAATAAAATTTTATAAATAAATTTTTAACTAACATAAATGTAATCGCTTATTTTAGAAATTGTTAATTAATTTATTATTAATTAACGCTTCATTATTATTCTTTTTATATAGTATGCGGATTATAATCATTATAATAATAATTCAGGATATTGTTAATTATTTAATTTTATTAAATTAATTTTATTATTTAATTAATAAACATTAATTAAATTATTAACTACTTTATTAAAAGTACCTGAGTATCTTATTATTTATTATCGTTATTAAAGGAACTCTTAAAAGAACTTCTTATACGCGTTTCCATAAAGCATAAGCGAATAAAAACCATTTCATTAATCGTTACTGCAGTGTTCGTGGAAAAACATTCATCCGGGATGTCGTAAAGTGATAAAGATACCAGATGAATTAGTTTTAGTAAAAAAGACTGTTTGTCAGGGTGCTTCAAAAAATATACGATCTGATTTCTTACAATCTAAAACAGTGTGTTCTATATGTCAAAAAAAAGAAAAAAAAATATTATATATTAGTTATAAATTTCTATTTATTGTTTTTCTTTTGGAAATCGAAATCCAAAGCTCTCTAAATTTTAATTAGGAAAAATGTTTAATAATTTGAAGTAGTAACTGCTAATTTTGCTTTCGAATTAGACAATTTTAGGTACTAATAGTCATTTCTACTAATTGGGAAATTTTACTAATTCAAAAGCAAAAAGTCACTGTGACTAATTCTTATTAATAAAAATTTTTACAAAATCAAATTTAAAGAGAGTGTAAAAAAAGATTTCCAAAGGTTTTTAATATCTAAATTATGGTATATTTTTTATTTATTATATAATATATAGTAAAGTATAAAAGCAGAATTAAATATAATTTAAACGACTATATATAGTTTGATCCCAAAAATACTACACAGAGTCCTATAAACAAAATGATTAAAATCAATAAAAATTGACCCCACAGGTTAGTATATCAATTAAGGTTTATGAGGTGATTCAAAGGCAAACTCAATGTCTTCCATTATTGAAAAACCTGAGTATATGTCAATTTTTTTTTATCAATTATAATTTCTAAAAATATTTTTATAGTCTTTTAGAAGAATTTTCTTTTACCTACTTTTACTAATTGAATATAGTGTAAAACTTTTTCGTTCTTAGAGACCTTCCCCCATACACACACGCACACATATACACATCCAGTTTCAATAAATATCTTTGACAAAATGCCCCCATATTTTACCATTCCCCTCTTCAATTTCCTAATTCCAAAAAAAACAAATTGCAATGATAATTATTCCAACTTTGGACATGCGAAGTAAAACAAAGAAGAAAAACTTCATTACCAAAAATATATTCTCTATCTCTCAATATGAAAGTTTATATATAGTGAAAGTTGGAAAAGTTTCAGCGCTTAAATTCTGATTAATTAAAAAGATGCCCTATTACTTATCTAAAGATGAACCTTGACTTATTCCATTATTTTGAGGACGAAATTTATATTCCAAAAGGAATATTACTTGTCTAAATAAAATACTCTCTAAATTTGAATTAAGTTAAAAATAATTAATTTGATAGTAAACAGTCACTGATTCAAATATTTGATTAGTAAAATATTACTATTAACTATTTAGTTAATAGTAACAATAATATTATAATAACTAATTATTAGATAAAACTTTTAGTTTTAATAAAAATAACTGAAATTTTTGGTAACTAATTTGAATTCGCTCATTGAAGTGCAAGTACATTATAAAAATTTATTCTGGGTTGCCACGCTTTTCCTCATTTCAAATTCTCTGACTTCTCCAGGTTTTTAAAACTACATTTATTTTTTACCAAATTAAATAACTCTAATAGATTTTTTAAAAATACATGGAACTTTCATATGATACTGTATTCTGCAATATTACATTTATCTATTTACTCACTAAGGGTTACCACAAAAATTTAATTTTGTTTTTCCCTGATTTTCAGACAAAATTTTCACTTTTTCTCTGACTATATAGAATATTCTAATTCACTCTAAAAATAATTAGATACCCAAAAAAATGTTCCATTATATTTATTTACGAATTTCTTTAATTGTAAAATTATTCGAAAACATCAATATTTTCATTTTTAAATAAATATTTAATCATTATTATTTTTCCGTAGAAATTAAGATTTACAAAATTTTCAAATTCAAACCATTTGAAATACAACAACTTAGAAGAATATTATAAAATAGGAAGACATGGATTGCTCCGAGTCTTCGACTCGGAGTGATCCATTTCTTCATGTTTTATAAATAATTAAAGCTGATCGAGTGATAAAATCATTATTTTATAATTATAAGAATATTGTTGCTGTAACTTCTTCAAAATTATTTTCATCAATTCAATTTTTATTTTCTAGAATTTTTAACTAAAATTCTACTTCAAATTAATTATTTTTAACAATTTTTGAAAAATTTTTCTGAGAATTTTTTTAAATCTATTTGTTTACAATTAAATTTTACGAAATTTCGATTATATTCGGAAATTCTTCATTTAAATATACAATAGAAAATAAAAACTTCTAATAATTTCAGAAAAGTTGAATTAAACTTTTTCAAAAACATTAATTCTACAGAATTGTATGTAAAAAGTTTGAAATTTCTGTGGAGAATTTCATTACTTTTAAAAATAATTGAATTATTGTGATAAATATTTGTTATTTATGCAAATTTTTAAATTTAGAAAAGGATTTTATTAAAACTCCTGAAAATAATTGAATTTCTGTGAAGAATTCTTATATTTATCGAGATAATTGAATTCTTTCGAAAAATTTTCCAAAGATTTGAATTTGAAACGTTTACAGAATTCAATTATTTTTGAAAATTAAAAAAAAATTCAAGTTATAATGCTTTTAATATTTTATTATTATCTAAAATTTTAACTGAAATTCATTTTTAACTCAATTTTTATTAGAATATTCTACAAGAATTCAATTATTTAAATAGATGCAAAAATAAATAATTTATTGAATAATTGAATATTTCTTAAAATTGAATTCTCATTAAGAATTTTATTAACAAATTTTTAAATAATTGCATTCTTCCGACGAATTTCAACAAAAATAATTTTTAAGAATAATTACATTTTTCGAGGAATTTTTAAAAATAATTGTATTAAAAATAATAAATTGGAATTCTGCAATGAGTTCAATTATTTATAAAAATAATTGAATCCCTCAGAAAAATTTTAATTTTTATGAAAATCATTAAAATTTGCAAACAATATTTTATTCAAATTCCTAAAAATAATTAAATCTTGAAAAGAATTTTTAAAAAATTTCTGAAAATAATTGAATTTCTATGGAGAATTTTATTACTTTTAAAAATAATTTAATTACTGTGATAAATATTTGTTATTTATGAAAATATTAAAGTTTTGCCAAGAATCTTATTAAAATTTTTGAAAATTGAATTTTGGAGAAGAGTTTTATTATTTATAAAGATAAATAAAATTTTGAAGAGAATTTTTTTAAAATTTTGAACATAATCTAAAATTTTAACTGAAATTAATTTAAAAATAAATTTTTATTATTTTCTACGAGAATTTAATTATTTTAATACAAAAATGAATAATTTGTTGAATAATTAAATCTTTCTGAAAATTGAATTCTGATAATAAGAATTTTATCAACAAATTTTTAAATATTTCAATTCTTTTGTCGAATTTTAATAAATTTTGTTATAGAAAAACAGTATTTTTCTGGAATTTGATTTAAATTGTATAAAAAATAATTGAAATTTTACAATAAGTTTTACTATTTATGAAAATAATTAAATTTCTAAACAGAATTTTATTATTTTTGAAAATTATTGAATAACTGTAAAAAAAGTTTATTATACTTGTAAAAGTAATGAAATCTTTGCGAAGAATATATAAAAAAAAATTTGTAAATTAATTGAATTTCTGTGAAATTTTTATTAGTTATGAAAATAATTAAATGTTTCCGCAGAATTTTATTCAAATTTTATTCAAATTTTGCCTAGAATTTTATTAAAATTTTTGAAAATAATTGTATTTCGGAGAAGAATTTTATTACTTTTGAAAATAATTGAAATTTTGACGAGAATTTTTAAAAATTTGGAATGTAATTGAATTTCTGCATAGAATTTTATTACTTTTGAAAATAATTGAATTTTTGCAATCGTTTAAAACTTTTCCAAAATTCAATTTTTTTAGTTATTTGAAAAGAAATTATTAGTAGAAATAGAAAAATTTGAAGGTTTTGTATTAGATTTAAGAATAAACACAATAAACTTTAGAAAACAACAATTTTCCATTTTCCTTTGATAAAAATTCCCTGACATTTCCAGGTTTTCCAGGTTGCGTGTCAACTCTGATTTAAGTAATAGAACAACAAATATTTTAACAAACGACAAATTGTTAATTTTGTAATTGACATTTTTTTCAGTCTACGATTTTACTAATAATTAGTTATTTCGAACTAATTCAGATTTAGAGAGTAAGTTACATTTCTTGAGGCTTCTAAGTTTTTGGGGGCAATATTTTTGAGACGTCCTTGACTTTTGAAAATTTTGGAATGAAAGAATGCTTTGGCACCCCAAATAAGATGAAAAGTCGAATATATGTATATGTATAGATATAGGTAGATGGAAAAAGAAGGGTAGCTACGACAATGTGTAGTCGGTCAGAATGCATCAATCCATTCTGCATCTGTATGTATTTACGGTGAACCCCTGTATGACATCATCCCCCTGTCGTACGCTTGGTTCGTTTCGCTGGGTGACTTCTGTCGCCTAACTTTCGAGCACCCCTGCCTCGCCTCGGCTACCACCTCCCTTTACCTTTAATCTTTATCAATCCATCCAGCAGGGCAAGCAAGTCGAAATGCCCGACCAACTGAACCAACGACGACGGACGGAC